CTCTCTCTCTCTCTCTATATATATATATATATATATATATGGATAAATTAGATCCACCTCCCCTGAGGTTTGGTCAAATAACAACTAGACCCCTTCTTGTTTGGGAAATAACACTATCCTCCCTTGTTAGTGAAGTCCATCCTCTATGAATAATGGAAACTCTAAAATGACTATAAAGTCCTCCTACGTGAACTGGGAAATATTCATAATACTTCCTCAATAAAATTCCTAATTAATCTAGATGAGTTTTAAATAATTTTTTGATTAAAAAAAAAAAATTATTTTGAAACCATCTTCTCAACAGTCATCTGAATGCCTTTGCATAGACCACACCCACCCCAAAGCCACCACAACATCAAATCCATTGTCGTGCCCACCTTGTCAACCACCATCACACCATCACACACATACATTGGTCCCTAAACCATCATCACTGCTGCACCACAAGGTCCACAACCACCACCATACACCCATGGCTTGAATCGACACCACCACTACACAACCCATCGCCATTCGCCAAACACCAAGACCACCTCTACACCACCAGCTTTACATCTAAAATATCACCCAAAAGGCCCTAATTTTGCATACTATAACCTTCCAAACAAATTATATTGAACCACCACAGAGTTGCATAGAGGAAATAGTGAGAAAGAATTACAGGGGTATTTTGGTAGAAGTAGAGTTGCTTATGGTTCACAAGGCTGGGTTTCTAGTTCACGGGTCTGGGTTCTACGAGATGGGTTCCAAGGGAGTTTGGTATGGGGAGGGGTGAATAGTGGTGTTATGCGTTGGGCTGGGGCTCCAATGGCGATGGGTTTTAGGGGCTCCAGCAACGATGTGGATTGGTGGGTTTTCCAGCGCAGTGTGGGGCTAGTTCTACTGTGATTTTTGTGGAGGGTTCCAAGGGGGTTTAGTATGGGGAAGGGTGAACGGTGATGTTATGCATTGGGCTGGGGTTTCGATGGCAGTGGGTTTTAGGGGCTCCAACAGTGGTGTTGGTTAGTGGGTTTTCCGGCGGAGTTTTTTTTTTTTTTGGGGGGCGGGGAGGGGGGGGTAGGTATGGGGAAAGTGAATGGTTATGTTATGCGTTGGGCTAGGGTTCCAATGGCAATGGGTTTTAGGGGACTCCAACAACTGTGTGGACTGGTTGGTTTTCTGGCAGAGCATGGGGGTGGCGTGGGCTAGTTCGAGTGTGTCTGGTTGTGTGGAGAGAGAAAGAGAGATTTTCTGTAATATATTCAAAAGTAATATTGGCATTTTAAAAAACGTAAATTGCTTACATCATTAAGTTCTTAACATTTCCCTGACAGTTCACTAACGGTGGGGGAATCTGTTACAAACAACTAAAGCAGAGGGGAGGGCAATATTACTTCCCAAACAAGAGGGGGTCTAGTTGTTATTTGATGAAACCTCTGGAGAGGTGGATGTAATTTACCCTTTATATCAATGTATAATAAATATTCATATGGAAATTTCAAAAAGTGTCTCATCGTTATCTTCCTCCACCTTTTAACTTGTTAAGTTGAAATAAATGTAAACAATTTTAGTTCTTTAGATTTTAGTTTCCACATGTTCTTTGCTAGTGGTATATAGAATCTGTTTTATTTCAAATTGTTGTCTCATAAATTCTAATTTTTGTGAAATATATATATATATATTTTTTTTTGGTCAGAATTTTTGTGAAATATTGAATGTTTGGAATCTAGCACAATTTATTTAATAATTTTCCTTGTTTCTCAAATTAATTATGGTATCACCAGTCAGAATTGTCCAATTCACAAGGGAACCAGAGGGCCTTTATGCCAGCCCCATTGGATATGCAGTTGGTTTATTATCATAACAGAGTTACTAGGTATAATATACCCTAAATACTGCCAATTTTCATTTATTTTTGGATAACGAGTAGTTAGAGGTCACTGGAAGCAATTCTTTAACAAGTATGCCACCAAAAAGCAAGAGCATAACCAATGTTATGGAGAAGAAAACACTTGGTTATTTTTATATTCGAAAGAACTTGTTTTTGTCCCAGTAAGTATTCGAATGAACTTCTTGCCAGGACAATGAATGGTCAGTTCTGTGCCAAGGATGAAAATTTCGTTTCATTACCAAAACAACTAAGCCATCTTGGTTTTCATGGAAATCAAAATTTCAATGTTTTGATGTGTTTTAGAGTATTTTTGAGGTGTTTACAGATCTTTTGGTATTTTTTGGCCTATGCTTTGGAAAGTTGCAGAAACAATATTTTGGTCCCAATTCCATAGAATTCTGTGCTCATCTTGAATGAGAAAGTTCGCAACATTAACAACACTATTTTATAACATGATAATTCCGACTTGAAAGTGATGTCATATGAAGCCTAGCCAACTATTTGTCAAATTGTGCAACCATACCTTATTGGGGATTTAGCTCGCCAACAAATGGGCAGTGTTGGGTCTGATGCATCCTGGATGAGGTCTTCACCAGAAATATCTTTGAACTGCAATCATGAACATAATGAAAGATTCAGGAAAACTAACAAGAAAATTTAGGAAAAACAATACATGATCTGTCCATGGGACCATGCGTAAACTACTTACAGAATCAACTAAATCAGAATATGCTTGTTTTGTGAAGTATGTATAAGAACTGCCACTATCGAAAACTACCCGTCCCAGTCCATTATTAAGACCACCTAAACTGAGTTGCTTGCTTCCATAATTCATTCTCACAACCTCTGCATGATAAAAGTTCCTGACCAAGAAAAAAACAAAGATATTAAAACAAAAGATTTACAATGCTTTGCACTTCTGATGAAGATTGTAATATAGCTACTAAACTCTAAGGGAAAAATTCAAAACTGAAAAATAACAATAAAAAAGAAGGGCAAAAAAAGGTTATGCACAAACATAAGGTGCAGAAGCATTCATCTCTAGAAAAGTACATGCAGAACCACTCCAAGGAATTACGTCACACAGACCCCAATAATGCAACCACTTTGAGCAAATAATGCCAAATATTAGGTATGTACTCAATACCTCTCCCAGACTCCCATTAATTGGAACGGAACTGGGTGTTATTTTGGGTGAGGTGAAGCTACCAATCTAAACAAGTGTTCACTTCTCCTCAATTGATTTCATTAAACTACAATTGCTTTGTTGAAATATTTAGAAAAAGAAAACTTTCTTTCTAAAAATCTCAAGGAAAGCTGTGAGAGACCTCTCTTCATGTTGGGCAAATTCACTAAAGCTGCTGATGTTCTACAAGTTATCACTTTGAAATTGGACGGTTTCAACTATGAGAACTCTTTTGTCCAAGTCTTACCCTACATTGTGATTCTTCTTCCATTAAACATATGTTCATAAAAGTAATCAAAGAGAAAAATTTAAAGAGGGTATAGAAACAGAAAACAACAAGAATCCCCAGAATCGTATACTCACATCAAAGGACTGCTAAGCATAGGGACCCATGCCATTTTCCAGTATGGCACAAAGTCATCACCTAAGAACATATAACCACCACCATCTGCTTCAGAGGTAAGGCAATGGCCTATAACATTATTGATGATTCCCTGGCTGGCCAATTGAGAAGGTAAGCTGACTTTAGCCCTGCTAAGTCCAAGGATTCCATCTGTCTTTGCCAGAGAGCTTAAAAGTAAGCCTTGTTGATCATATGCGCACCTGACCAACATAAACAGAGACTCTTTCTGTTTAAATAGATAAGTAGCAAAATAGTTACCGAGAAAAACAGAAGATAAGTAGAAAGTTTTTAGAAGGAAAGGAGGTGCCTATGGGATTACCCAAAAATAGCTTTTAACTTGGCCACTGATCCATTTGCAATCTCTAGATGAAGCTCATCTTTCGCAAGAACCCCAATGGAGGAGCTATCATCTGCATATTCTATCTCATAATCACATTGATGGCACGTTTCACAATTTCCAGTTCTCTGGGTTTTCTGAACTTCGATACACAATGAGTCCTTTGAAGGTACAATGCTGTCTTTCATGGGCTTGTAGAAAGGGTGTGGTCCCTACATACACTTTCTCATTAGAAATCTAATGATCTTATCTCAACAGCTTGAATAAAGGTGAAGGTTTCCATCTATTTAATTTGACGACTGATTCAAATGATGACAGATTCTCGGTGGAAGAATTTTCTTTCATTTATTTCTCCCATCTAACTGGTCTTGCAACTCTAAGGGAGCTTTGTTATTATATGAACCCCATTTCTGCAGAAAAAGGAAAAGGGAGGGGCCAAGGAGGCAAAAAAGAGAAATCTATGTGCCTTTATGAATTATGAGTGAATTGCAGAGTAAAGATTTGTTGCTATTAATTAAAGGTTAAATGGGGATTGCTGGTGTTAGTATCTTCCAGAAACATCATTTCAGGGGATAAAATAAGGAAAATGAAAACAAGAAATGTTAGATATGTCCCCAAGTTCATTTCTTTTTCCCCTTTTGTGCTCCAACAATTTTAAAGCTATTGGAAACATATTTCAATTTCCATTAGAAGAGAGGTGGTTGACAATCTGCAAGACATGTTTGTATTTTTTTTTTCTTTTTGAGTTATGCCAACACATTTAACTTTTAAAAAATGATATAATAATTTATCCGAAACGGAGAGACACCAAGAGCCCCAAAACACTTTTTTATTGTTTTTTTTTATCTGGAAAGAGGAAAACAAGTAGCAATCTTAACTGATGGGTAACAATGGGAATCAAATAAAACATGGTTGTCTTAATTTTGGGATTGTAGACATGCACCCAAATCAGAATGCATGGTTATCAGTATGCTTATTAGTTATTACCACAACAAATTTCAATAACAAGGACTTGAATCAAATTCTATTGCTGAATAGCTTGTAAAGTATTAGAAATTACCTTGGCACAGCTAGTGCATGGAGCATCACACTGAATCCATGTTAAGTCACTCCCAGTATCCATGTCAAGAAAATAAGGTCTCGGAGGACTCCCAATGAGCATATAAGTATAGTACAATCTGTGTAAGAGATCAAATATGGCATCACATGTTACAATGCAATTCAAATGATATGAATAACAAACAAAATCTGTAGTAGTCTAGTGAACAAATAAGCCATATGAAACTGAAAAAGTATGTAATACTCCTATTTAAGAAATCCAGTCTTTTCATTAAAATTCAAACCCAATCCAATCCTTCAGTTGTACCCCAGTCTGCAGATTCAGATTCTGGAAGAGCAAATTATTGATATGCCCACTCTCTCTCCACAAATATTTATGTAGCTATCAATATATCTATCTTTCATTTTTCCCATTTAAAAAATCTTAAAGGTGTGTGGATGTGTGGCTTTTAACTCCATTCCCAACCACATGCAGATATTCCAAATTTCAACACTTGAAATACAGTGCTTTTCTAGTGCTTTAAGCTGTCAAATTCCATAAGCTGCTATACTTGTTCAAGGACTAATTCAAACGCCATTGATATAGTGTATGCAGAAGCATTGCATATTTCCACACTTGATGGCTGACATAACAATTAAATTTATTTTATGATATTTTTGGTGTCATGGGAGAAATAGGCCCAAACTATTCAATTTAAATCTATCTTTAATTTTATTGTTGGGCTTTATTTTTATAAAATTAAAATTTTTACTTAGGATAGTGGTTATAATAACAAAAAATGGGGCCTAACTAAAAAATGGGGCCTAAAGCCCAGACTTTGATGGCCTTACAGTAGGGCCGGCCCTGGTACATCTCATACGTGGGACACATCACATCAAAAATCTAAGCTAGTGCAAACAATTCGCTAATAGTTTCCATTAACTTAACCACCCATTCAGGTAATACAAAATGTCGAATATAGGGAGGATATACTTTTAGAAACTTCAGCGTGTTAAATGACAATGAATAAATCATTATTATATTAGCAGAAAACACATTAAAAAATCCAAAACAAAAAGACAAAAGGAAGCAGATGACAGAATCCATGAGTCTAAACAAAAGCCCCAAAGCAATACATGTCCACAACATTACTGACATCAAAGCAATGATGTGGATATTGATCCATTATTTCCCATCTGAATATCTCATTGTTTAGGAACTGCACCTTGGTCTTATGCTTCAAAAGAACTCTAAAGCCTAAACATAATTGGAGTTTTGAGGAAAAATTCCTTCACAAAAATAAGCTGTGAATGAAACATGTTGAAGGAACTTTTGGACCTTTACTGTTGTCTTCATGCACCAACTCTCACCTCCTTAAGATAATACGACAGGAAGCAACGGAAAATAGCAGCCATCATCTATGGTCTTCAAATATTTTTCTCATTTTCCCTTTCAACATGCTGTTTAATTGTTTTTCCATAGGCATAATTTCTATATCGTCGAACATATATATTTCTATAAATTGGTAAGGTTCATCTGTAAGTTGAAATCATTAAGCAAAAGAATATAAATTTATCAAGGATGAGGGAAGGTGTAGCTAATTAGCAGTCACTTTCCATGAATTATTTGATGTCTACATAAGAAAAAATGCAACAAAGTACGCAAGTGAAGCATAGAATAGTGGATCCTTCAAACAAGAAAAAGAGCAACAGATATCTTGATTACGGTTGCTATGCAGTCTATCAGATACACACTAGTATATGCTCATCAACATACCATATGCATACCATCCAAGCTTTTACTTTTCTTAATGTTGGAAGCAAAAAGATAATAAAACCAAACATTTCATAAGCAAGTTTCAAGAAGAGTAAAGAAGGAAATAACATTATTTAATCAAAATTGCTTTGGGCCCTGCTGTCACTATCATCAGCATTACTACCTCAATAGATGTGAATATCAACCATAACCTTCATTTACACTACCACTACCTCCATCCGCAATGGCAAGTACACCTCCAGCAATATGGTTTTGACAGTGCTTCTGTTTCCATCAATACTATAACTCTTAGATTGGCATTTTTCAATCCACCTTTGTCTCAAAAACAATACCATTACTTCCATGTAAAAAACCACAACAACAAATGCTACCTTATATCTAATATTTGAATGGTAGTTCAACAAACTCCTTTTTACTATTGCATTGTAATAACTAGGGAAAAAGGTATAGAGTGAATGAAAGGCACTAACAGTCTACAAAATATCGACCATTCTTCCTGTTTAGCCGAAAAATGGTTTATTGTTTATTATATTCTGATTGATATAGTGAAGTTAAGGCCAATTTGATGCAGAATAGGTGAGAATAGATTGTTTGGAGTGGGAAGACCATCAGTTTTGGGGCCGAATTTCATAGTTTAGACCCATAAAATCCCATTTTTGCCGTTTTAGGAAAGAATTTAAAAATTAATAGTAGATCTATAAGATTTTGAATTCATTACCATCAATTTTGTTAGACTCCAACATGCGTTTATCTTAATTGGTTAGAGTATAATTTTTCAGTTTTGGTAAAATTCGTATAATTACGATTTTTCTCCCAATATTGGGTCGATTGGGGCTTTGGTCATTCCCATACATATTGCCCTATCTAATACGAGTTATTTATCAATAATATAATATTTTGAGAATTTTCTTTCCTTTTTCCTGTGAGTTCAGAATGTGTGTGTGTTCGTTACACTTAGAAACACTGATTTCTTTGTGTTTTTGTTTACCACTGCATAACAATTCTGGATTAATACTTGGTGCCATCACTGCCCACGTATTTAACATCATAGGAACAATCAAATAGAAATATCAACTGTATAAAACAGCAAGAACCATACGTACCCATCTGGATAAATGTTACCCCTTACAGGTAAAATGGTAGTAGAATCAATAGCAGAAGCAGTAGAAACAGATTTGATTTTCTTTTTATGTCTCATTCCATCATTTGACACAACATTCTCTGGATTGAAGTCCACAAACCTCCCCAGTTTAAGCTCAACATCCCTCTTTGACATCCCACGAGTACCGAATTTCGGATACAAAGGGAAAATGAAAGAATTGGGCTTGTCATCATCGTCGACATCTTTTAACTCGAAAAGGGTCTTCTGAGATACAGATACCCACAAGATTAAAGCAATCAGAGATATACCCAGAAGTCCAAAAACAGTTCTTGGGCTACCCAATAGGCCCATTCCTCTGCTTAATGAAAATTGAAGCTGATTGGTTGGTGATGACCGACTTGGAAGTTGATGGTTGTGTTGCAATTGTGGGGCTTGGTGGGGGTGTTGAGGAGGTGTTAGAGGTGAATCTGTGAGTGTAAAAGCTGTTATAGTTTTGCCTTTGGAAGGGTTATCTGGAGGTGGAAGTGTGATTATCACTACTCCTGTCAACTGAGGTGCCTCATCAGACTCCATACCTCTCCCTCTCTCCCCAAGTACAGATTGCAGAAGCCAATACTGGGCGTCAATCAGAGAGAGACTACAGATGAAGAAGAGGAAAAGAAAAGTCTTCTCTCCCTAGTCTTCCTCTGGCCTTTTCAATCCATCTTTGAAATGGACACGTTCTCTCTGTGTGTCTCTCTCTCTCTGTTCGTTTTTCTCTCAACAAAGTCAAACTATTGAAACTTCCGGGAATAATCTGCAATGAGCCAACTCTACTTGTTTATTGAGTATTAAAAGCTTTGAACTCGCTCGTTTCTTTTGACTACTGTTATCGGTACCGGACCGGATTGATCGGTCGGACCGGTTCAACCGTGAACCGGGGCCTTAACCGATCTAATTTCTTAGTTGAGCCGTTTAAAAAAGCGAACCAGCTAAAAATTGAAAAATCGGCCGATTTTTAACAAAAATCGATTTTTAAAAATTAAATTACATAAATAAATTTTTTTATCCTAAATCAGTAAATAGTTGATTTTTTTTAACCTTATTCTTGAAAAAATTATAAATGACACCCCTTCTTTTTCTTTATAATTTACTTGAACCTTTTTACTTTGCTTTAAAATACAATAACCCCCACTTTGTTACTTAATTTCATTAATTTTATGGCAAATTTTATGTATTTTATATATATTTTATATTTTTTAGCTAAATTATTAAGTTTTATAATTATTATATATATTTTTTATTTTTTTATTATATGACCGATCCGACCAGTTGACCCAACGATTGAACCAGTGAACTATTGACCCGATCTTCTTGCTAGTTCGATGACCGATCCAATTTTGATAACGTCGCTTTTGACACATATTTTAATAGGTTGGGTTTTTACGGCTACGATTGTTTAATGGTCCACTGAGTACCGGTGGCTTCTATACAGAGTGAATTTTGTCATTCTCCTGCTCTGGTGCGTACGAATATAACATCGATGCCTGTAAACCACATTTACTCGAGATAATATTAGTTACAACGGTTACATGGTAATGTGACGTGGATAAATAAATAAATAATATTAAATAAGTGGATTCTATAAAACATAATAACCAGGTCTACGTGATCAAATAACTTCTCATTCTTTCTCCATATAAGTTTAAGTGAGATTCACTTTATCCCTTTAGAATTTTATTATTAATTGATAATATTATATCATTAATAATGATATAATATCACCGTTATATTAAATATTTATTCAAATAAGAGAAATTACGCTCACTTATTTTTTAGTTTAAGTGGCTACGGAATGTGCTGATACTTTTGCTTATATTCGATATACAATGACTAGTCATAGGAAATCCCCATAGCCACTTGAACTAAAAAAACAAGTAAGCATAATTTCTCCGACCTGAGTAAATATTCAATGCAACAAACCAACTAGTAATAAATTTTTAAGGGAGCAAGTTGAATCTAAGTTTATTTGCAAGAAAAATGAGGAGTTGTTTGATTATATGATAGGTTGGTTATTATTTTTTGTAAAATTTATTTATTTTGATATTATTAATTAGTGATATTACATTACATTATCACGCGATTATGAATAATTTCTCCATTTACTTGTATCAAATATTGGACTGATGGACCTCGCCGGAAATTACAAAGCAGGCTTCGACGGGTCCTTTGGCCCACATCTGCCCCTAACNATCCGACCAGTTGACCCAACGATTGAACCAGTGAACTATTGACCCGATCTTCTTGCTAGTTCGATGACCGATCCAATTTTGATAACGTCGCTTTTGACACATATTTTAATAGGTTGGGTTTTTACGGCTACGATTGTTTAATGGTCCACTGAGTACCGGTGGCTTCTATACAGAGTGAATTTTGTCATTCTCCTGCTCTGGTGCGTACGAATATAACATCGATGCCTGTAAACCACATTTACTCGAGATAATATTAGTTACAACGGTTACATGGTAATGTGACGTGGATAAATAAATAAATAATATTAAATAAGTGGATTCTATAAAACATAATAACCAGGTCTACGTGATCAAATAACTTCTCATTCTTTCTCCATATAAGTTTAAGTGAGATTCACTTTATCCCTTTAGAATTTTATTATTAATTGATAATATTATATCATTAATAATGATATAATATCACCGTTATATTAAATATTTATTCAAATAAGAGAAATTACGCTCACTTATTTTTTAGTTTAAGTGGCTACGGAATGTGCTGATACTTTTGCTTATATTCGATATACAATGACTAGTCATAGGAAATCCCCATAGCCACTTGAACTAAAAAAACAAGTAAGCATAATTTCTCCGACCTGAGTAAATATTCAATGCAACAAACCAACTAGTAATAAATTTTTAAGGGAGCAAGTTGAATCTAAGTTTATTTGCAAGAAAAATGAGGAGTTGTTTGATTATATGATAGGTTGGTTATTATTTTTTGTAAAATTTATTTATTTTGATATTATTAATTAGTGATATTACATTACATTATCACGCGATTATGAATAATTTCTCCATTTACTTGTATCAAATATTGGACTGATGGACCTCGCCGGAAATTACAAAGCAGGCTTCGACGGGTCCTTTGGCCCACATCTGCCCCTAACGTTGGAAAAAGAGAAATTTGGGACTTATTCCCTTGGGAGACTTATTTTAACTTACTCCCTCAAAAAAAATTATTTGGAAATAACTCAATTTTGTTTTTCATTATCTAAAATATCTTTAGTAGTTATATTTAATTAAAAAAATTTGAAAACTAACATCTACTAAATTTTAGTAGTGTTACTAACATTAATATATATATATACACACACATATATCTATATAATAAAATATAATACAATTCAAATCTCAAAAGATAAACAAAATTATTTTAGTTTTTCGTAATTGAAATCTTTTTAAATTTTACTTTAAAATTAATCGAACAACTAATATTAACACTCCAAATTTAACAAGAAAAATAAGTTATAAGGATATATTTGAAATAACTTTCTAAAAGTGTTTCTAAAACTCATAATTCCTCATAAGTACTTTAAAAAAAATATAATGTTTGGAACCGCCCCTCACCATCACTACCATTACCACCCCCAATGCCCCACCACCATCAACATTACCACCACCACCACCGCTACCACCCCACCACCACCACTATCAGCGCCGCACCACCCCCACCATTGTCGCTACCGCTTTACCACCACCATCACCCCCATCGCCCCAACACCATCACTGTCACCCTACCACCACCACTATCGTTGTTGCACACCCTACATCCACCGTCGCTGTCCAACCATTACCCTACCACCATTCCCCCTTCCGCCACACCACCACCCCCACGACCATCATCACTACCACCCCACAATTGCCATCATCGCCACCCCACCCCTTACTCCCACCCCCACCCCACGTCCCTTAAAACCAGCCTGATGC